ATTAATTTGAGGGCCGTTTCTTTGTGTAATTTTTAAAGGAAAAAGTTTAATGTTTTTTTAACAAAAATTAAAAAAGAATAATTTCTAAGAAAAAAAGCTATAAACAAAAGTGAGGTCACAAAAATGCTTTTTTAAAATAAAAAAAAAACATATCTAGACATACTACTTATTGTTGTGAAAAATTAGTGTAAAAATGTAAAAATTTACGTTTTTACTAAAGTGATGCATATTAAAATGCAAGTAAAAACGATCCTTGATAAAAACTAGTAAAAACTTACGTTTTTATTATTTTGACCGTTTTTATTTAAAACACATTTTTTTTTAAAAAAAAGATTTACAGAAAAGAAATTAAAAAAAAAAACAATTTTCGTTTTCCTCAAATCATATGCACAGTATCTTGATATCTTTTTGTTTGTACATAAGTCTTTTATAATTATGTCTTATAAAGCTGTAATTCTATTATAAGTTATGCTATAAGAATCGTTTTGTGTTTTTTGATCATTGTGTGCAATGAAAGAAGTGGAATTATATTCTGATGAGCAATGATCCAAAATCTGCAGTGTATGAAACAGCTAGAGCAGATTGGTTATCTATTACTTGTTAGTTATCACTGTTTATAATTTTGATACTTGGTTATCAAAAATAATTTTTCCTTTTAGATAGATAAGTGGCTCAACACATATGTTCATTATGTAACTTTTTTTTTTGCATGCATATATAATTTTGTATCTTAACTTTAAGTAGTAGAAAGTAAAAACTTTACGTTTCGTGTCGTTTCTATGTTTTACGTTTTTACTACCCTTTTCGTTTCTACGTAAAAACTCGAGTTTGACAACATTGATACTACGGATTCATTGCAAGTATTATTGGGTGCTTTCCCTTACAATCATTTTAATATACCAAAAAAAGTGTAAGAGAAAAAAAAAACTTGAATTTCGGATGCAATTATTTTTCACATAAAAAAAGAAAATTAAATTTATCTCTGTTTACTAAATTATGATATATTTAATGACATATGTCATTTTTATTTTTATTTGTTTAGATTTTAACTTTAGATTCTCTTTTAGTTTAATTATGCATATCATCCTTAATTTTCTCCATTTTATTATAAACTTTTAAAAATTCATAATAATTTTTAAAAAATAAAAACAAAAACGATATACAATGTGTGATATCCCGGTTACCACAACATAAAAGATTCAGTTTTATGAGAACCATTATCTAATTAGTGGGTAAGGCAAAGTATTGGTTCCACTTTTCTTGTATTTTCCCTTAGTCAGAACCTGTAAACACTAACTTTTGTCCTTTTTCCTTTCTTATTTCCAATTTTATTTAACAATACCTTTTCTCTTTATTCAAAAAAAAAAAAAAAAAATTAGAATAGTGCATGAAAGTTTTCTTAACAATCCAACCACCATCACTCAAAAAAAAAAATAAAAAAAAATCATTATTTCTCCTATGTGATGAATATTCTACGAATGTACTTGATACTATGTGGCTTCTCTGATATTATGTGGTTTCGGGATGTTCCTTTTGACGTCAGAAGGTTTATGAATTTATCTATCACACACAAATCTTTTATTCCGCCTCTGACTCCCAATTATTTTGAATGCAAGTATGGGCTTTTTTTTTCTTCAGAAGTTGTTTTTTTTTTTTTAAAAAAAGTACTTTTCATTTTTAGTTCGTTTGGATATCTGTTTTTAAAAAAAGTAGAAGTCACAAAAAAAGTCAAAAATTTACTTTTTTCTGAAGCTAAAAATTTTAACTTTTAAAAAAGCAGAAGTCAAAAGCCAAATATTTTTTTCAAAATCTAAATATTTTTATAAAAATATAAATAGTTTTAAATTTTGTAAAAATGACTTTTAAAATAAGAAAAAGATAAAAGTTAACGGGCTTATGCTCTAAAAGCTTAAATTACTCTAATTTTCCAAATAATCTAATTAATTAATTTTTTATTCTTCGTTGCGGTGGGTTTGCGCCAATTTTATTTTTATTTTTGTAAATGGGTTTGCGCCAATTAGTGTTACGAAGAAATGTTAAAGTTATTTGTCATGGGCCCCTCTATGTCATCAAGTTGCCTGCACATGCCTAGTTTATCTTTACACCTTCGTATTGTAATCCCCATTTCAACAAACCTGGTCTACCTATAAAGATAGGATATCATGATGCTGACAAGTTGCATAACTTTGGTAGATGTTTAAATTCATAAAAAGAGAGAAGGAAATGTTATAAAAAAAAAAAAAGAGAGAGAGAAGGAAGATGATAAAAAATAAAGTAAATACTTTTTTTTTTTTTTTTGTTCTTACCAAATTTCACGATACTTGCTTTAGTCTCTAACAAATAAAAAGTTCCATCGTGGTTTTTAAGAAATTCAAAATGGACCCATTTTAGTCTTTTTGGGGACTAATATGAGTCTTTTTTGAATTTATAAGAGACCACGATTTTAACTAAATGGATCCATTTTGAATTTCTTAGACACCACGATGAGCCTTTTTATTTGCTAGAAACTAAAGCGGGCATCGTAAAATTTGCTGATGACCAAAAATAATATTTACTCTAAATAATAATAAAATGGTTAGAATCTAACTGGTGTTAAATTTTAGCAAAATAAATAAATAAAATAAATTACAATTGTTTCATAGGCTTTAATCCTCCAAATTTTGGGCGCAGATTATCGTAAAACACAAATGCATGCTTTTTTAGATCAGATATAAAGTTTAGATCTCGTTGGACCCGAGATTTATTTGAGAAGTATAATTTAACCGTGATGCTTTGTTAATCTCACATATTTTATTAAAAAAATATTTATTATTTTAAATGACATAAAGTTATATTATTTTAAGAGAGATAGACACAAAATAATATTTTTTATTTAAAATTTAAATTAAAAAAAAATCATCCACTTTTTTTCCCATGATTTTCATTTCTTGTGTCTATCTCTCTTTTAAAATGATATAACTTATGTCATTTAAAATGAGAAACATAGATTACCAAAAAAAATGACAAACATCAAACCCTTTATTTTGTATTATTTTAGCCGTGACGGCTTGGTAATTCAAAATTTGTCTAAAAATTTATAATAATGAAAACAATAATATAAAATGGGGAAGGATATATTTATCGCCAAAAAAAGTTTACAACCTTTACAACCAACCTAATCACATTGATTTCCGTCAATCTAAAGGTTATAATTTATTGTAAATTATTGGGTCGTATTTATTAATTAATTATTAATTTTCAATAATTTATAACTGTTAGATTAACGAAAATCAACGGTGATTAAATTGGTTGTAAAGGTGGTAAACTTTTTTGATGGTAAGTATATCCTGCCCCTAATCTCATCTGTTTTTGTTCTACAGCTTGATGGTTCGAAACTTTTTTTAATTTATCATAAACATTGTAATGATAAAACATGTAATATAAAGATTATCCTGTTATACAGAGATGATTTAGCCGCGACGGCTTGTGGATCTCACGTATTTTATTTTGGGTCATTTTGGCTATGACATACTGATGATTTAAAATCCTCAAACTTAATGGAACAAAAAAAATTTCTTTTGAACTATTTTTCAAAAATATTAAATCAAACAACACATATATTTTTCACATAACAACGTAGCGTTTGAGTGTAAGATCCTTCTTGTCAAGTATAAAAATAAATTTTTAAAAATTAGTTTTCTTTTCTTTAGTTATTTGGGATGAAATAAATATTTAAAATTTTATCAATATTAATGTATCAGAATCCGTTTTAGCTCAGATTGCTATAGCTGCATTATTTTTCCTTGCCTACTGAACATTCTTTCAAATCAACATTTGCTATTTGATTTTGGAAAGCTGAAAATTGTTTAGTGACTGTATTACTGTAGCATCTTAACTGATTCATCCTTGTAAGTGATTGTAAAATTCAAGGCTGAAGGAACCATAGTAACTTAATTAGAAAAATATTTCTACACTTAATACAAATAAGTTATCTGCATTTATTTCCAAAACTACGTTGTTTTGAGATTGAAAGATTAAAAAATTATAATTATAAAGACTATAATAATCCTGAAATAAATTAAAATTACAAAACATTATGATTTCCGCACCAAGACGACGTCGTATTGAGCTGCAGATAACTTATCTGCAGTAACTGCAGAAAAAGCGAACCCTAACTTAATCTCAGGTCTGCTTTTATTGCTGGTTCCTGCTAAAAGCTACTTTAGTAAAAGTAAATTGCTACCTAAGTAATTTCTTGAAATTTAGCAGACTATATTGACCACATTACTGAACTGTACATATTCATCAAATGGGTTAAAGACTGCACAAAATTTGTTGCATTTGTGAATAAGCTGTCCTGAGAACATAGTGCTTTTGCTTTTCCAAGTCAGACATACATTTGATTGTCACTGACTGGGTTTCTTCTCCTATTCCCTTAGTCATTGGTTTGTACTTGCTAATTGGTAAAACCTTGGCTTAATATATTCTCTTTGCTTATCTACATAGCTAATTTTGTTTTGGAAGTCTTATCAGATTAGATTTCTACTGCTGTTGAGACAATTTACCTGAGTAAACACTTTTGTTTTACTCGAGTAACCTGAAGCTTGTTGGTCAAGTAAGGGGCAGTGAGACCTAGGTTATTTTAAAAAAAAAAACTTATTTTTTATGCATGGGGCAATATCTAAATTCACTAATTCAAAACCTTGAACTACCTTGTACTCATTTATTTTTTGGATCATTATCAAATCCAAGATTGTATCTAAAAATGTTGGCACTTCCATTAGGAGCCTAATTGACAAAATATACCATTGTAGTTACAGGAACCAATATGTAGAATGGGTGATATGCATTGCCAAGGCTCTTCCTAGGATGAAATTTGAACTTATGAGACCAAAGCTTGGAGTCACCAAAAAATTGAGACAAAGTAAAATGATTAGCTTATTTTGTGTATTAATTTAGTTAATATATGACTTTGTTTATGCATTTGGATAAATACAAAGTTCTTGTGTCTTAGTGTTGGGTAATATCAACTTTAATTGGTCATAACAATACCTACTCACCACAAAAAATTTAACTACAATACCTACTCCAACCGTTCAAGTCAGATTAATGCAATTGAAAGAATCCAGACATTTCCAATATGCTTGCATTCAGAAACATCAGTGTTTAAAAAAGACTCTCCTTTGCATTTACATCAGCAAATAAATTAGCAAGTGAATCCCCCTTGTCATCCTTTGTTTGATCACTTTCATTGTTTATGAAATGGAATGCCTTTAGATTGGTAGTTAACCCATAAATACTTGGAGCACTGGGTGGCGCTGATGTACGATTCTTGATCGAGACAAATGCCATCTTTTTCGAAGCAGAATGAAGTTTATCGTCGGTAGAGCATCGTGATAATACATGCAAGCCACCCTCCGGTGAAGATTCCTTTAAAGAGGCTTTTATGGTGCTTTGATTTTCTCTTCCTTCCTCACTACATACAGTCTGCTTACCATCATCAATCTGCAACGAGCCAGTAAGCAAATCGGTATTCATATCTTTGGCATGACAGGAATCTTTGACAGCAGCATCTGCTTCAACTCTCTCCGGTTCAAGCTGGTCATCTGCACAAGACAGTTTTACCGAGCCCTAATTAATAATTTATGACACGAAAATATTACAAGTTAATTTGTTTTTGGAGATATTCCAATCGGTTCATCGCTTCACAACTAGTCCGATTAGAGGCGGGTCCCAAGATTAAGACTTTAAACTCCTCCCAAAGACGGTACTAGGGAGAATCGAATATATGCTCTCACCCCCATGTTCCCTAGCGTCAACTGTGCTACAATCATTTGGTTTACAAGTTAACTGATGAATGTATCCAGTAAAGAAGAGAGAAAAGCAATTTTTTATTTATTACTTTCTGTGAAACAATGGGGCCTAAGCCTGAAAACCAACTTGTTTATTAGGTTTGTAAGCCATTTCAAGCATGCAGATCACTTGCAAATGCAGTTAACCATTGAGATGCCAATTCTTAAGCCTAAAACAAAAGAACTCCAGAAACCAAAGTGAGATATGTTATATGGTCGATTAAAACAAGCAACAATGGCGAGATCAAGGCAAATCTTCAATTAAACTAATTTGTTTTATTTCACAATTAATTGCACTCACATGTCCGAGATCCTGCAACTACAGTAATAACTCAGAACAGAATACCTTCAACCAATTGAACTAAACAGAAAAAGAGAAGCAATTAAAAGACATATGTCACAAAACATTTAATTATTGGCAAAAACTAAATTATCAAGCAAAAAATTTTATATAAAAAGAAAGAAGACTAAGTGATGATGGAATAGCAGAATCAAGCACATCATGGTTCTTACCCCCAAGAATAGACTCAATACTGTTGTAGTTGACATCTGATGCTTGGACTGAGAGATTTCCACCAGAGTCCTCACCTTGACTTTCATTCTCCCTCTTATGCTTTTTCTCAAGTAATATAAACTTATCTGATTTCCATACACACTCTAATATAATAAAATCATCCCTAACTGGGTATAACTCTCTGAAAACCTGCTTCAGTAGTATATATCAAAAGAGCTGAGGAGAAAATAGATTAGCAAGTAGAGTACTACTTTCAATTCATATATATATATATATATATATATATATACAACAGAGAACATAGGGATACAAACTAACCTCAATTCCCTGATGAGTTATTCTTATTGATTGCTTCTCTTTAGAGAGGGAAGAAACCATGTTGAACACTGAAACAACATCAAGCAATATCTGTACAAGGTTCAATTAATTGAATCAGTAGTTCGAGCATCCCTCAAGATTGGAAGAGATTAAAAGAAACCGAAAACTCCGCAGGAAACCAGTGGAAAAGTACAAACACTAATAGAAACTATGGACAATTGAAGAAAATAAAGATTATAGAAACTGATTACAGAAGGAGAAAAAATGCAGAAAATAAAAGGATAGACCAGTAGCTTTCGAGAGGCTACTGGCTCTCCCAGCCCAATTCAGTCCCAAAATCCTAGGATACTGTTAACTATTGAACCAAGAACAAAGAGAAACAACTGAGTTTGTATTGTTATAGCTAAATCCAAATCAGACTCAGCCATCTAAGTACATGAAGTCTTGTAGAAAGGAAAAATTACAGAATTAATCATACTTATTAATCTCGGATAGCGGCCAACCCTCCAAACTGCTATAGCGCTATAGCGTGTAGCGCTACAACGCTACTGTGCAAAGTGTACCTAATACTTATTAATTATTTAAAATAAATAATTGAACAGTAAAAAATAAATAAAACAAACATTTGTAGAATGTAGATAAAAGTTAAAACAGAAAATTAAAAGTCTTAACGAAAAAAAAAACATAAATATAATAACAAAAATAATCAGAGAAAAAAATAAATACTTAAAGCCTTGAATAATAAAAAAGAGAAAAAAAATTGAAACTTAATACAAAAAAAAAAAAAAAAAAAATTCATTTGCTGTAAAATAAAAATTAAAACAAAACATAATAGAAAACTAACCAGTTTTGCTCAGCAAAGTCGAATGATTTGGGAGAAGGAGGAGAGGAGGATTTGCATGTATGGAACAATTAGGATTTTTGAGAGTATGTGATGATTTAGATTTAATTTATAGAAAATGTGTCTTTGATTGTGTCTCTGATTGTCTCTCGTGTATCTCTTATTGTCTATCGTGTATCTCTGATTGTCTAATTGATTAATGAGGGTAAAAAATTTTGTTACTATTTTACCTCTCTTAGAATATATGAGATTTAAAATATTACTTTTACCTCTTTTAACATGTATGATATTTAAAATTTACTTTTACCATAGATAAATCAGATAAAAATTAAAAAATCCATGACCCTTTCTTCTTCCCTGCGTTCTTCTTCCTCGATAGATTTCTTAGGGTTACTGTAGCTGCGTATTCAGGCGCGATTTCGCCGCTATAGCGGCCGCAATAGCCGCCACTCTTCAGCCTATTGTAGCGGCGCGGTCTGTGGCGGCCAGCCGCCGCACCGCACCGCAACTCCGAGAAAGCGCGCTAAAGCGGCTCATATCATGTGTCGAAGAGTGGCGGCTTTAGCGCGCTTTCTCGGAGTTGCGGTGCGGTGCGGCAGCTGGCCGCCACAGACCGCGCCGCTACAATAGGCTGAAGAGTGGCGGCTGTTGCGGCCGCTATAGCGGCGAAATCGTGCCTGAATGCGCAGCTACAGTAACCCTAAGAAATCTATCGAGGAAGAAGAACGCAAGAAAGAAGAAAGGGTCAGGGATTTTTTAATTTTTATCTGATTTATCTAAGGTAAAAGTAAAAAGTAAAAGTAAATTTTAAATATCATACATGTTAAAAGAGGTAAACGTAAAAAATAAAAGTAAAAAGTAAAAAGTAATATTTTAAATCTCATATATTCTAAGAGAGGTAAAACAGTAACAAAAAATTTTACCCTCATTAATCAATTAGACAATCAGAGATACACAATCAGAGACACATGATATGAGCATCAGAGATACACGATATGAGCATCAGAGACACAATCAGAGACACATTTTCTATAAATTAAATCTAAACCATCACATACTCTCAAAAATCACCCACAATCCTAATTGTTCCATACATTCAAATCCTCCTCTCCTCCTTCTCCCAAATCATTCAACTTTGTTGAGCAAAACTGGTTAGTTTTCTATTATGTTTTGTTTTAATTTTTATTTTACAGCAAATGAATTTTTTTCTTTTTCTTCTTCTTTTTTTTTTGTATTAAGTTTCAATTTTTTTTTTCTCTTTTTTATTATTCAAGGCTTTAAGTATTTATTTTTTTCTCTGATTATTTTTGTTATTATATTTATGTTTTATATTTATGTTTTTTTTTTTCGTTAAGACTTTTAATTTTCTGTTTTAACTTTTATCTATATTCTGCACATGTTTGTTTTATTTATTTTTTACTGTTCAATTATTTATTTTAAATAATTAATAAGTATTAGGTACACTTTGCACAGTAGCGTTGTAGCGCTACACGCTATAGCAGTTTGGAGGGTCGGTCGCTACGCACCGCTATCCGAGATTAATAAGTATGAATGAAACCAGAGAGATGAAGAACAAGATTTCTGTTATTATGTCAGAGAGAGGAGAGAAAGAATAAAAGGAAAAATCTCGTTACAATGGTAATGCCCTTCAATTGTGAAATCTCAATTTCAGAAAATACTATTATTTATTCCAACATGCCAACAATTCCCACCAATTTAAATCCCCACTTCTTAACTTCCCTACATATTATCATAACTGCTATAACTAGCTAACGCAAGGATTCGATTCCTACTTTTATTCCTTCAGTCCCACTTATGGGATCAAATCAAGACGTTCTAAGAAGAAATATTAGAATATCGTCAATCTCTTAAGTATCATACCAAATCTAATCAATCGAATTGCTTTTTCGAGAAATACGAGACACCTAGGTCATAAAAGTAAAGCAAGTTATTCATTGATAAGACAAAAAAAAGGCGTGAATGGTAACTGGATTGATGATAAAATAAAATCCTAGGTCTCGACGGAAAAAACCTTCCAGGTCCAACCCTCAACGTTCTAATGAGGCTGGGCCTCGTGCCTAACAATATCTCAAGCAAGATTAATTCAAAATCACAATGACATAAAATCTACATCTTAAATGGCACAGATTCTCTAAATTCATAGTATCTAATGCCAGATTAATACTATCAATTTCACTTTCTAGTTAATTTACAAATAAATTCTGCATCAATGTGCCACATTAAATAATTTCAAACTTAACAATGATACAATCTAGATTAAATTATAAGACATAAATTTGGGAGACTTACTTGTTGAACCAAAACTCGAAGACGCGCAAGCAAAGCCATAAGTGTCAGAGAAAATCCCATAAAAAAAGACTGAGCAAACAATACAGATACCTCACTATTAAGTAGTCAAGGAAAGAAATTTTATGTTGCAATCTTAACAAATCAGTCCTAAAATTTTCAGGAAGACTTCACTAAATGCTACTATTGGAGTTGAAAGTGATAATTTCTAAGAACGGGATTCCACATTCTATTCTTCCAAAGTATAAAGTAAAATTATTGAATCAGGGATAAAATAACAGACCAAACTATCATATTAGATAATTGTAGCCAAATACTATTTGGAAACTGCTTTCAAAAACTTAAAAATTCAAAATCAATACAATCCAGGACTTTACGAAGGGAATGGGAGATGTCAAGGTTAACAAGAATGAAATAAGAAGTTACTGTTTCAACCAACAGACATGCGAAAAGAAAAATGTCTACATAAATAATACAAAAAGATAGAGGACATAAAAAATTCCAGCACAGATAAAGAAATTATAAAGACATGTAAAATTAAGCAAGTAAACTAATGTTTTACGGAAAGCACTGTGGGAAAAAAAAAAACAAATGAGAAAAGGATACTAAAATCATATCATGGTGTATCATAGATCATTTGGAAATACCAACTAGTACCTACTATATGAAGCAAAAAAAAGGTTTTATATGCCTTATGCCATGATCAGGGTACGGCCAATTAACTAAACCTTGAGCATATAGGATACCACCCATTTAAATATAAACCAGATGATATCAGTAGTAGAAGGATACGTTGCAGCCTTCAGTATTGGTTCAACCATCTGCATGAAGAAAAAGAGCAGCCAATAAAATAAAAGAACAATTTATTAAAGAAATATTCAATCCAATGTTAAAACTATTATGACGCATATGGACAAAAATTCCCATTAAAATCAATCCATGGGAAGAGAAAGCAGAAACTACCTTGATAGAAACATAATGATCTTATTCTAGAAAGGAAGGAAATCAGTTAGAGAAACATTCAATGATATTTAACTGCAATTTCACCTCTGCTAGTAAGCGTGCAGCTCCTAAGAGACGCTCCATAAAATTATGCTTTTCATTATTGCATTTCCTCCTTTTTAAGCTGTCATGAAACAATAAGTAGAACAACATAATGTCATCACATACCAACATAATATCATATGTAGAAATTTCAACATCAAAATATCTCAAGAGTTAATAACAAGATGTTCAGTTATGCAAGAGAGGTTGAGCCATCTCTCATAGATTGCAATTTTGTTTGCATAATAATATTGCTGCATCCATATTCACATACTTCATTCTTTAGCTCTAAGTGCACAAGATTTAGGCCTGAATAATGGTTTGTCGTATCATGCCTCTTCACATGAAAATTATAAATTGTCACTTCCAATTTTTGTGAGATCTCAAAACTGAAAATTTCAAACTATTCCATTTTCATTCTCTAAGCCTTTGACCTAATAACACACAAATCTAAAGGCAAATAAAATTAGAGATATTTTAAAAATAAAAAATATCTATGTCAATGTGCTAGTCATCTCAGGCTTACTAGTTCCCCCCACCACCACTGTACGCCCCGTGTGCACCTAGTACGTTACTCCTTATGATTTCAAGCGTAGTAAGAAAGAAAATTGCTAAGGGCCTGTTTGGTGTGATGTATAAGGCCTGATAGTATACTATACGTTATGACATTTTCAATTGTTTGGTGTGACCATCGTATAGTATAAGCTTATACATCAGGATCCCTTAATACATTAAAACGATGCATAAGCTTATCAAGTCTAGGGGGTGGGATAAGCCCTGATAAGGAATTGATGTATTAATCTAATCCTTTCCCTTCTTTTTCTTCCCCATTGTAACCCCTATTTCTTCTTCTTCCCTCTTTCAAAGTTCGTGTTCCACGTTGAAGACAACGAACCTCGATCGAACTCACACCACACACAGAGACACCAATGATTTCAATCAAACTATAGCCATGGTCATGGAGCTTCACTTGGATTCCATGGCTGCTTCAATCGTTCTTTGGTTTCTTCTCTGCTTCGTCGCCATCATTCCCCTCCGCTTCCTATGACAGTTCGTTCCTGGTCGCCTCCCCAAACACCTCTACTCCACCGCCATCGTTGCTTTTCTCTCACCTCTGTATTGGTTACTATCTATGCTGTGGGAGTCACAACACACAGACTCTCTCTCTCTCTCTGAAAATTGCAGAACCTCCATTTTCATCCTCTTTGAAACTTGAACCAAGAAGAAGCAGGGCGTTTGGTTTGTGAAGGTTGTGTATTTCTTCCTATTTGTGTATTTCTATATTGCAATTGCTAGGGAAAGTTAAATTTTTGAAATTTTGCTTTCAATGGGTGTGGCATTTTTTATTCTTCACGTTGGAACTGACTTTTTTTGTTGCAATGCAGAGATGCTATAGTGACATGGATTAGGAAGAAGATAGGACCTGGTATATACAACATAATTACGTTGGATGATGCTGAACGCATATTGACCTCTGAAAGTAAAGTTGTTTTGGGCTTCCTTGACTCTTTAGTTGTAAGTTTAGGGGTTTGCATTTTTGCTACACATTTAGCAGTGTGTGTGTGACAAGTTGTCAAATGCAATGCAAGCAGAATTTATTTAATTTTTTTGTGATTTAAATTTCTATTTCGAGATGGTTTAATGAGTTCATGGTTTTAAATTTATCATGATCATACTAAGGTATTTTTGTCATAGTAAGAATAAGTTACGCAGGTTGCTGAGAGTGAGGATCTAGCTGCAGCTCCAAAACTTGAGGATAATGTCAATTTTTATCAAACTGTGATTTCTAATGTGGCTAGATTTCTGCGACATCAATTTATTGCAGCGAAGTTACTCATGGCTAGATTTCTTGCACATCAATTTAGCATACAGTCCATTGACACTATCCATAAAACGCCTGTAATTATGTCAACACAGAGGTACATAAACATAAAAAAAAAAAAAATGAATGTGTCAAAGATTCCTAGAAAATCCTACATGTCATGAAATTTACCCCAAGACAGCTCTGCTCAAGGAATTAGTGTCTAAAGTAGTCCTCATTATTGTAGGGCTAGGTTACTAAAAAGGAACTTTTAAATCCCCACCTTTATAATCATGTGGCTTATAACAAGGAAGGAGTTTCAACTTATATTTGCTCTTCTCTATCTCTTCAACATTTAATCGTTTAAACTGCTTGAAAGGTAACATCTCTAACTTATATCCGTTTTATTCATCATAGGCAAGCCAAGTCTAGTATAGCATTTTACCTAACTTGCTTAAGCTGTCATCTATCCTAATTTCCTATAGTTTAAAATTATCTCACTTGGAGGGAGTCTATCTTGGAATTATCTTCATTACAATAGTAAATTTAATCTAGATGATTAATCTGTCCAAAACAGGTCAAAACATTCATTTTACAATTTATCTCGAAGTACTTACAATATAACATGATTCTAAATTTTGTTCTCTTAGAACCCTTGGAAATACATGATAGCAATTTCATATATTAATCACGATAGTATTTTGAAAATCAAGACATCCATGACATCACCTCAAAATAATACATTGAAACCATAACATTTCCATGTTCTAGCTACAAGTCATTTACGACTTAAATAAGTCTTAGAATTAGTATGGCAAAACATATAACTTAAGTGGAATTCAATTTACAAGATACAAAAGATTATAATCCCATCTACATACATATTTATAACTGCCTCATCACAAAACAACCTAACAAAACAGAACTTTCTCCGCCATCCCCAAAAAAGGTCATCAACTAATATCAGTAATGTTTCTATCGTTTCTCCTTCAAGACCTGCATTATGCAGCCCATAAAGGGTGAGATTCTCATCTCAGTAAACCATGGAATTTGCGGACTTTCCCCTCACCAATTTGGACCAATCCTGCAAAAACATTGGTGCTACATACACTAGGAACAACTTATAGATTTCTTCCAAACCATAACATAGATTATCTTAAAAGGCATATAGCACATCATGGAACTTATCCGTAACATATGCACAATTCATTAAACAGAAACATACTTATCCATAGGGTTCCTACTTTGAGCTTGAAGTAGGAGTCCTTTCCTAAGAGGTCTCTTACTTGTCCACATGACACCTCCATGAGCTCTCTTTGCCCAAAGTAGGACATATCCTAAGAGGTTTGCTTATTTCTTCGCTTAGACTAATCTCATGAGTCTCATTTCTCTACACCTCCATGAGCTCTCTTTGTTCAAAGTAGGACATATCCTAAGAGATGTTGCTTAATTCTTCACGTGGCCAAGGAGTTTTCTCAAGCATTCAAGCTTAATTCAAACATTTCATTGCTGTCCAAAGGCCTTTTCATTTAGAATACAACATACACATTAAGGACAACCTCAAATACATACGTGGCTGTCCTCTTAGACTTTTGTTGTTGCACGTGACTTAATTTACATAACACCCATTATAGCTCATTGAGAACAATCCATAAAATTCACACATCATGTCATTCACGATCACAATCTAAATTCAAGGTATAAAATACATAAATCTACAAATTGATCTCCACATAAAAAGATTAAACTTATCATGGAAGTAACTAGGTGGCTATTTCGGCCACAACCTTTGTTTCAACTCAAAGCAAGCATCAATTTCTCTCTTTAACATCATGTAACATCATTTAAGAGCATTATATCATATAGGTGCTGTCCATTAATAAATTCTCATTGTGCACATAAGACTTCTACAATCATATCACATTTAAACTAATAAAATCCATTACACAAGCTGTAATTTTATTAATTTCACAGCACATGACCCATACAGTTAGGCAAGTGCATCATCAAATATTCCAACTAATTAATGGTAAAATTCTTATTGTAACTTCATGGTCATACCCGAAACATAAGGAACAAAATCTCATGGTTCCTTTGGCTGGAACAGGGGTATCTATTCATAGTATTTTAGATACTTCTACTATTTCACACACAGCACATCAACATGGCTGTTAAAGCCATGTTCAAAACATAATTATGGAATTGTCTCAAGCCTGTGACTGCCTCGGTCAAACCAATAAACGGGAGAGAAGTTTCAAGATTTTCCTCACTCCTATATTTTCTTTGCTATGGAATGTTTTAAGTCTTTCAACAATACTTCTATTCTTGTCACTTTAACTTCCTATTCAAAAGGAAGATGGCTTACTTACGAGGACCTCCATCATGGAAGGCCAACCTCAGTTCTCAAGAGTGTAAGCACACAATCTACTACAATAATTATATTTGCATAATTAGTTGATAATTAGGAGTATAGCTAAGAGAAATGGAGATCTACACCACATGCAGAAGGAGTGAGGTTTGGGTTTCATGGAGTTCAGAAGAGCAGGCTCACCGCTCACACCACCCTAGATGGTTCTTGTCTTTCTCCCTTGAAACATAAAGAAGGGAGAGAGATGGCATTTTCTCTTTTGTCACTCATCTAGGTATATTTGAGTGCAAGGCGTTAATTTCTTCCCTTCTTTGGCTTGATTCTTCCTCTTCAATTTCAAGGCTAAATCTAAGAGAGAGGAATGGGGAAATTCTCAGATAGGAGATGTAATGCCAAAAGGAGGCTATGTAGTCTTCTCGTGGGACATGAGAATTTAGGTGGGCTTTGGTTGCGAAGCTTGAGAGGAAAGGAACAAGTAACGTAATGGAGTTCTTTCCTGCTGTGAACGGAGCAAAAATGAGGGAGAGATGAGGAAGTCTCAGAAATTAGGTGAAAGTGGTGCGTAATCAAGTGTAGCCAGCTCATACTAGGATTGTTTCCCCCTAGGCATGCAAGCCTATGATTTTCATCATATGGCCGCTTGGGAAGGAGGCCCATGGTTCACTGTATGTGCTCACACAAATTAACATAGCCTTAAGGATGGAATTTTGAAATTCCAAATCAGCCCCACAAGGCCACAAGTATGAATTTAGAAGTTGACCCCTAAATTTCCAAAGTAGTTCTGCCCCAACAAGAATCTTAACCTCACAAAATTTACATGTAGGTGTTATACCCACCCTTTTGTTGGGTGATTAAGGAATATTGTTACTGATTTTGATTTTTGAAACAATGGTACCAGAGGAACTGCTTGAAATATCAAGACAAACACTCAACATATTTTAAACACATCAATCATATTATTATCTTGGCGGTTTGTACATTGAATTTGGAAAACTCCAAAATAACTGCGAGAAATAAGCTAAACTAACCTTTCTAAAAGATGAACCTTCTGTTTTGGTCTATCACCTTTGATAACAAGTAAACATGATGATACAAGCTCCTCCAAATTTGCCGATTGCAGAAGCCTTAAATCCCTTCCCACCTACCAATTACCAAACCACACAACCCAGAAAGACATATAAATACACATTGCATACATTTAAGCTCAAATGTAAAATGCGCATATTCCATTTAATTTTCCATGCAAATGCAATTACTCTTAAAACTTGTTCATTAAGAGGGGAAAAAAAGTTTTCACAAAATTTTCGATCACTAAGCAATTTAATATCATTGAACACTGACTTGGGATAAACTATAGTGTATATAATGTTGTAGCAGTGTACCTTTAAAATACGCTGGAAATAGGAACAACGCCGATGCTGATTCTTGTTCTTATATATCATTCTTTGTAGGATGCCACACTCATATTGGAGCTGGCCAAACATAGATGTTATCCTTGCCTCAATCGTTTCGACTTCAGTACCCATTGAGTCCCTGAATTTCAATCCAACGGCTTATTCAAATTCTGAGATGAAACTATAATAACCCACACTTGTATAATGAGATGGAATGTAATTTTGCAAGTCCTCAATTACTCAAACAGAAGTGTGGGTTAATGACTAATCAGAAGTGCTCAAAACTCAGTTTTATAATGATAGAGAGATCTAGCTTTCTAGGCTACTGTAAAATCTCGCTTGGGGGTAAAAGGGTTACATCAATTTTATGGATCACAGAAAAAAAAAAATCTACAGAACACAATACAAAATAGACTAACCAACTCCCACTTACTTAAACAACTATTTACATGTTTTCTGCCCAGCTGTAAATTTTGTATAGGGTCAAGGTAAACAACTAAGATTCTATAATTCAAATTAAATTTTCTCAAGAACAATTTAGTACCAAATAGTCTAATAGTCCATATAAAAACTCGCAGACTTTAAGGTACCCCAATAATTTCTAGACTCGTAGCTAACACAACACTAGAATTTTTTGTGTTACGATGCAACATGAATACAATAAAACAATCAATCCCTATAAACTTATTTCAATAGGTCTTGTCCCTTCTTCTACTCACCTAGGTGGTTAAGAATTGATGAGCAATTTCATACTTCCCAAAACCCAGAACCCCAAAAAAAAATTGATGAGCAAAAAAAAAAACATAAAGATCAAACCTTTATGACTTAGCCAACTGAATTTCAAAAACCCATAAACAAAACACAAATTTTCATTCAAAGTAGTAAACTTTCTGATGCACCAAACACAAAAGGAGGAAAGCAAAATGAAGGGGTGGGGGGAGTGTGGCATTTTATCTAACACCTCCCAAGCTGACGGTGCGCACAGGAGATGGTGGTGGCTGACGAAGATGGCGCAAGCGAACAGGGAACAGAGAACAGAGACAAACGAACAAGGCTGACGAAGATGACGCACGGGAACAGGGCTCTGACGGTGGTGGCTTGCTCGCGAGGTGGTGCGGCGTAGTGGCTGGTGGACAGGCGGAGGTGGTGAAGTGGCTAGAGGGCGACCTAAAATGTGAGGGAGAGAGTCAATGCTTAACGGCTGCGCACGCGAACAGGGCACTGATGGTGGCGGCTTGCTTGCGAGGTGGTGCGGCGACACAGTGGCTGGCCGACAAGCGGAGGTGATGTCTGGGCAAGAGAGAGATGACGAAGGCTACCGTGAGGGAGAGAGGCACTAAGGCTGGTGGGTGTTTGGATCAGTTTTTTAAAACTCCGCACCACCCCGACCCGGGTCAACCCTAACTCCTTTTTTCTTCTGAGGGAGTTAGGGTCACAAGTTGGACCCTATATGCACATTGACTCCTCCTACTCTTAAAATTTGGCCGAGTTTCAGTGACTCTCGGGTCAGATGGGTCAGAGGAGATCATTGCATATTTTTTTTTTTTTTTAAATTTCATGAAACAACATTATTTTATTCAAAAAATAAAATAAAAATGTTTACAAACCTAAATCTAATCGTTCTCTTCTCTCCTAACGACCTAGACGTTTTTAATCTTCACCTCGCTGCCCTGAATCTTCTAGAAAAGGTAAGGATTTTACTCATTCAAATGAAATTCTTACGGTCGTCAATGGAAAACAAAAACTCATTCTTACTTGTTTAAATTTTCCTTTATCAGAAATCTTCTCAAAAGAGACAGAACTTGGTTAGCGTAGTGACCCCATTAGAATACGAGTTTTATACTTTGATATCTTGATACTTTAATTAGGTTGTGTAATATTGACTTGTGGTTGTAATTGGTGAATTATGTTAAGTATATTTTGAATCTTTGATGATTGGTGGTTTGTTTTTTAATATTTTCATATAGGATATATATATTCATATTTTTTAATATATAAAACCGGGTCAGCGTAGTGACCCCGTAACCCCCCGGTTGAACCTCTAACCCCTGACCTCGGCCGGGTCGATGACCGGGCCGGGTTTTTAAACACCGGTTTGGATAATCCTATGTTAAAAAAAAGATTTTTGTTTAAATATCTTTATGGATCCTTAAAAAAAAAATATTGTCCCCATTTTATTCTCTAATAAAAAAAAATTAAAGGGTGTATTGAATTATGATTTTAAAATATTTTTCAGAGATAAATTTTTTTATATATTTTAAGAGAGAGTTTAAAGATTTTTTTTATAATCAAGATTTTATAAGGAGGTGTATTGGATTGGGATTTCAAAGGATTTTAATGGATTGTTTTTGAACAAAAAAACTCGTTGGTATTCGATTAGGATTTTAATGGATTGAAAAAAAGTCACGTGGTATTCGATTAAGATTTGAAAGGATTATTTTAAAATCCTTCCAAATTCGTTGGTATTCAATCAAGATTTTAAACAATGGAATCACAATCTCGTAGTATTAAAAAATTCGACGATTTTAATGGATTTTCTATTGGTGTGGATTTCGTGAGACTTTTTTGTGAAAAATATAAATAGGATATCTCTCTCACAATCTCACCCCAACCCCTAGGATTTCTTGAGATTCTTCTGTTGCAGTGTTTTCTTCTTCCTTCGGCAGGTTGACTGCTCGAAATTGGGTTCCGCCATAGGAGCTTCGTCAAAACTAAAAAAAATTAAGATTTTTTTATATATTTTAAGAGAGAGTTTAAAGATTTTTTTTATAATCAAGATTTTATAAGATTGGATTTTAAAAGAATTTATAAGATTTAAAAGACAATGTGGATTTATAAGATTTTAAAAAATCATATGAATTTTTAACAAACATTCAAAATTACAAAAGTCAATAAAAAAATTAACTAAGAAATGCAATGATATTAGTAAATAAAAAAAGTAAAACGTAATATAATTTTCTCAATTAGTAAAAGGGGAAGGATGTTGTAATAACCAATTAGTATTACTACCAATAAATTTTACCGTTAGATCGATTATGTTGATCCAACGGTTATATTTATTTTTATCTTTGTATGGTTATGATTCCTCATATTTTTCACATTAAATATGGGAATTATAATCATACAAATGTGAAAATAAATATAAAGTATTAAATAAATATAAAATATTAAATATGAGGAATCATAACCATACAAAGATGAAAATAAATATAACCGTTGGATCAACATAATCGATCTGACGTTGAAATTGATTGGTAGTAACACTAATTGGTTTTGTTACAATATCCTACCTCTTAGTAAAATTCATGATAATTTTTTGTTTGTAATTTTTTGCAATTGATCTTGTAAACCTTGGGGTTTTTGTTCTACGTGATGAGAGTTTCCTAATCATATATCATACGTATGTTTTCATTGAGCATTCCAAGAAAACTTCGAAGCTTAATTTCTAGGTTTTGTTACATGAAAATTTAGAAAATTTCTCAAATTATTTTCAATCGATACATTAAAATCTTAAATTGCTTTGTGGGTTTTGAAAACAAGTTTTTAGTGACCTATTGACACAAAAATTATTTGAAATCGTTTCCTATAGCGAAGGAATTTCGTTCATGAATGTATTATTATGAAACATAGGGTTCATATTATGAAAGTTTTAATCTTTCTTTAAATCGATCTTGTTTCATTAAAGTAAAATAAAAAATGGTTTGGGGGTTTTTGTTTTCCCACTATTTTATGTTGTTTTTAATATAAAAATCACATATTTTTGTACCAAGAAAAATCATGACCAATAGCTTGAAAAATCATTTTTAAACTTCCAAAAATTCTCAAAAAATTGCTTCAAAATCTGCTATTTTTGAGATGAATTAGATTAAATCTTGTTGGGTTGTTGTTTCTGGGTTATTTTGTGATGAAAACCGTTCAAAAATCTATTATTTTTGAGCTTTGACGAAGCTTCTATGGCGGAACTCAGTTTCGAGCGAGTTGACCCACCAAAGGCAGAAGAAGACACTGCAATAGAGAAATCTCAAGAAATCCTAGGGTTTAGGGTGAGATTGTGAGAGAGACATCCTATTTATATTTCTCATTAAAAAGTCTCACGAAATTCACTCCAATAGAAAATCCATTAAAATCGTAAGATTTTTGAATACCACAAGATTGTTTTTCCTTTGTTCAAAATCCTGATTGAATACCAACGGATGTGGATGGACTTTTAAATAATCGTTTAAAATCCTAATCGAATACCACATGAATTTTTTTCAATCCTTTAAAATTCTAATTGAATACCAATGGATTTTTTTGTCCAAAAATAATCCATTAAAATCCTTTGAAATCCCAATCCAATACACCCCTTAGTCTCGAGGTCACTAAGAAATTCAAAAGTGGACCCATTTAGTTGAAATCGTCGTCCCTCTCAAATTCAAAAAAGATCCATATTAGTCCCTCAAAAGGACTAAAATAGGTCCACTTTGAATTTCTTAGGAACCACAAGACTAATTTTTTTTGTAAGAGACTAAAGTGGGGACCGTGTTTTTTGTTCGGGACCCAAAAGGATATTTTCTCAAGATTTTATATCACCCATGGAAAATTACAAAAATAACCCCTATACGGGTTGACACACAAACCTGCGGGTTAACCCGTGACCCTTAACGAAAAAAAATGTGTCATTTTTTATAACTCGTACACGACTCGTTCTTAACCCACGGCTTGACACGACACGCGTTTTGGTGGGTCATGTCACGGGTCAACCCGCGGAACAGAACCTGTTTTGTCACCCCTAAAGAATCATAGAGTTATATTGTAAGATTAGGTTAGTCAGTTTGTTATTAACTCGAATCAGCGATAGGTGGGTAAATATTATGACAGAAATACTATGATGCACCAATATTTCAAAAATCCTGACATGTCGTGTCCGAAACTACCCGACACTCCAAACACGCATTGCATATACTCAAAAAAGGATTCAAAGGTTGTGTTGCGTTTTAGTTCCAACTATTATATTCGATGGATTACGATTACTATTTTATTGAGTTTAATGCAAATATTTAGGATATCTTATGTTTCTTTGCAAAATTGATGCGTATTATAAGTTTAGCTTCATTTTTTTGTTAAATTATTGAATATCAAATAAAATATACATTACATAAATTAAAAATATTATTGAATATCAAAACTTGTGTTAAAGTGTCGAAATCTAAAAAAATTTAGAATTAACGTGCCGGAGTGTCCCGTCCGGTGTCAGTGTCAATGCAACATAGCACAAATGTATTCTGTAACCTATGGAACAGGGCGCACAAGAGATGGTGGTGGCTGACGAAGTTGGCGCAAGCGAACAGGGAACAGGGAACAGAGACAAACGAACAAGGCTGACGAAGATGACGCACGCAATTAGGGCGCTAACGGTGGTGGCTTTCTCGCGAGGTGGTGCGATGTAGTGGCTGGTGGACAGGAAGAGGTGGTGCAGTGGCTGGAGGGCGACCTAAAATGTGAGGGAGCGAGTTGATGCTTAACGATTGCGCACACAAACAGGGCACCGATGGTGGTGGCTTGCTTGCGAGGTGATGCGGCAACACAATAGGTGATGTCTGGGCAAGAGAGAGACAGAGAGGGAAAGAGACGAAGGCTACCGAGAGGGAGAGAGAGGCACGAAGGCTGGAGGGTGTTTGGATAATCCTAGGTTAAAGAAAGATTTTATATCACCCGTGGGTAATTACAAAAATAACCCCTATATAGGTTGACACACAGACCTATGGGTTAATCCGTGACTCGTCACGAAAAAAAATGTGTCATTTTTTATAACCCATACACGACCCGTTCTTGACCGGCGACTTGACACAACATGAGTTTTGACGAATCGTGTCACGGGTTTCCCGCAGGACAGAACCTGTTTTGCCACCCCTAAAAAATAATAGAGTTATAATCTAAGATTAGGTTAGTCAATTTGTTATTAACTCGAATCAGCGATAGATGGGTAAATATTATGACACAAATGCTATGATGCATCGCTACTTCAAGAATTTTGACGTGTCATGTCTGACACTCCAAACACGCATTGCATACACTCAAAAAAAGATTCAAAGGTTGCGTTGCGTTTTTAGTTCCAACTATTAGATTCGTTGGATTACACTTGCTATTTTATTGAGTTTAATACAAATATTTAGGATATTTTATGTTTCTTTGCAAAATTGATGTGTATTATAAGTTTAGCTTCATTTTTTTGTTAAATTATTGAATATCAAATATAATATGCATTACATAAATTAAAAATATTATTTAATATTAAAACGGGTGCTAATATGTTAAAATCTGATATTTTTTAAAATTAATATATCGAAATGTCC